GCAAAACTTGTGAAAAAGAAGTGAACTGAATGTGCACGTTTTAGTGTATTTTAAATCTTGAAAGTATATATTTTAAAATAACTTTACTTGCAGATATGATATTAAAGGAGTAGTTCACTTTCAAATGAAAATTACCCCATGATTTACTCACCCTCAAGCCAGGTGTATATGACGTTCCTCTATCAGACGAATACAATCGGAGTTATATTAAAAAATGCCCTGGCTTTTCTGAGCTTTATAATGGTAGTGGATTGCAACCATCAGTTTGAAGCTCAAAAAAGTGCATCCATCCATCATAAAATAACTTCAGACGGCTCCGGGGTTTAATAAAGTCTTTCTGAAGCAAAGCGATGAGTTTGTGTGAGAAAAATATAACATATCTTTTGGCCAAATGGACATGCAGTCTATTTGCCTGTAATGCGCAACTTACGTACGTCACAGTACGTCACATTACTCGCATTAGAATTAAGTCGAATCCGTTCGTTTGGCAGGAAGCAATTACTTGACTTTATAGTTTTAAATATGAATATTTTTCTTACTCAATCGTTTTGCTTCAGAAGGCCTTTATTAAAGCAGCACTATATGCAGGATTTTCGTTTTTGTCAAACTGTGATCATAAATAGCAGTCACGCAGAGATGTCTCAGCACTCGCGGCCTGATCCCCTCCCCCTGTATACCGGTACCTGTTCAGTAGGATGGAAGCTGTAACGAGTGGAAATAAGGTGTGGCCCCTTTAAGAGCTGCGCCCTGTTGAACTGTCAGCAGTCTGCTGGTGTATGCGCCTCAAACACCACATGTATACAGCGCCGGGTTATTTCTGTTTGATATTTATTTTATCAGATCTTTCTTGCCGTAAAGCAATTCGTTACGTCGCGGGACCTGATATCATGCTGATGCAAGTGTGTTTTGGGGGCGATATGCACAACATTCAACCCGAAAACAGTCAACCATTGCAATAACTCCGAAGCTATTCAGTTAAGGTAAAAAAAAAAACTGCCTTCAACCCTCAATTGTGAAGTTTGTTTATGATGGATGGATGGAAACTAGGAAGAGACAGGATATTTTTAATATAACTCCGATTGTATTCGTCTGAAAGACATCGTCAGAAAGTCATTTAAACATAGGATGGTTTGAGGGTGAGTAAATCATGGGGTAATTTACTCCTTTAATGAAATAAAAGGCCTCTTATATAGTTCACCCAAAAATGTAAATTCTGTCATTGATTACTCACCCTCATTTCGTTCCAAACACGCAAGAATTTTGTTCATGTTTGGAACACAAATTAGATTTTGATGATGTTTTCTGTCCCTCCATTGACAGCTAACGTTACACAACTTTGATGCTTCAAAAACTTCATAAAGAGATTGTAAAAATAATACATATGAATTGAATTGTAGAAACACGATCTGATTCAATCTGTTCATCATGTAAAGTGATTGAGTCTCTTCAGATAATCTTGACGGCTCAATTAATATGGATTAGTTTAAAATCGCATCATGAACTTTTTCAAGTATCAAAGTGTCAGTTGTGTAGACTGTCAATGGACTGACAGAAAACTCTCAGATTTTATCAAAAAGATCTTAATTTGTGTTCCAAAGAAGAAAGAAAGTCTTACGGGTTTGGAACTAAATGAGGGTGAGTAATTAATAAGTGGACTATCTCTTTGTGTCCTTAAAAGAGTGCACTTTCATGACTACTTAAGTGGTCAAAACACTCTAAAGTTAAAGGAGTAGTTCACTTTAAAAAAAACTTTTGCTGAAAATTTACTCACCCCCATGTCATCCAAGATCGAAAAGAAATTAAGGTTTTTGATGAAAACATTCCAGGATTTTTCTCCATATAATGGACTTCAATGGGAACCAAACGGTTCAAGGTCCAAAAGACAGTTTCAGTGCAAACTGCAAACTGCTCAAAGGGCTTTAAACGATTCCAGATGACGAATAAGGGTCTTATCAAGCGAAATGATGCACTTAAAGGTGCACTTAAATATATATATATTTTTAAAGTATATTATTTACTTTTTTAAAAGCATGCTAAAGTGTACTTATTTTTCACAAGAGATGCATATTCACCAATCAAAATTAGATTAGATTAGATTATTGTATTGTAAGTGTGAGTTCTTAAAAGCCAGTTGTAACACTCTGTCTATTAAACATAGTAAAATATAATCTTTATAATCTCTACCAGTTCCGTCTTCTGACTTTCACAGACCCTCGTTCTGCAACATCAGCTTCTCTGACTTTCGGTATCTTAATAGTAGCCTCAAGAATTTGACTTTTCTCACTTTCAAAACACCTCCCCCTATTTGATATGACTTTCACGGCCTGCATAAAAAGGGTTTCCCTGCTCTCCTTTTAACGTCTCCAAGAACTGCTATCTTTGGCTTTAGGCCCCATTTTCTTTGGATTACCCTGTGAAGCCCCAAGGTTAGCTTCTGTCATTGACCTTTGGGGTTGACACTGTCTAAATGGTGACACGTACGGGACGGGACCAGCTGGTGCTGACGCTGTGCTCTTGGTTGGGGACAGAAAAGTCCGAGGTGATGGACTCAAACTGTCTTTTTGGTTTTTCGGTGGAGGTTCATATGCAACCTTTGCCTTCCACTCGGCCGGGGGCTCGGGTAAGAGCTTAGTCTGAGCGGCATAGCGCAGGTTGGAGGCAATAGACTGTTGAATGTTCAGATACGTAAAAGCTTCATCCACAAGCCCCAATGGGTGGCGTGAGGCAGCTTCCCATGGGCTGGGAGGCTTGAGACCCCTGTCTAGCCGGGCAGTCTGTGGCTGAACAGAAGAGGGTTGTGATGCAGGTCTTGGCGATGGAGAAAATGAAATTGACCTTGGACTGAGACCTGCTGTTGAAAGTCTAACAGGTGGTGACAAGGACGAGCTCCTAAGCATCTGAAATGAGCAAACAAATACGTTTAAACCAGTTTCCATAGGAATAAACAACTGTAGTGGCAGATTCATGTCAATAGTGAACAATGGATATTACACAGAAAAACATTGGTGAGTGAAACCACTGAAAAAAAAATATTGTTGGTTTAACTTAAAAAATTAAGTAACCTGATTGCCTTAAATTTTAAGTTCATTGAATTGGAAAAAAATTTGTTAATATAATAAAGGAGATTGATTTAATCATCAGAAACTCAAAATATTATGTTATCTGAACTACATAAATTATTTAAGTTGATTTGACAAAAGAAAAAAATGTGATTACAAATCGTGATAATATTTTTTTTACAGTGAAATTTTACAATGAACTAAGAAGCAGAAAGTAACACTGAATTAAATGTGAAATTTGAAAGTAGAAGGACTGAAATAGTATTTTCTTGTAAATCATATTCCAATAATCGTTGTTTTATGTACAACTTTGATTTTTTTTTTTTTTTACAGTGTATGTGGATATGTACAAAAACAATTTTCCTCCATGGAGTGAACACATAACTAAGGCTAACCAGAAAGACTGTGCTGCCACCGTCTGGTTGTGATGTGAACGTGCAGGGCTCTAATTACTACAATTCACTTGAAAATCTCTCCAGGATGAATAAAATTAGCATTAAAAATCCTATAAAAAAATTGTTGGTTTAACTTAAAAAATTAAGTAACCTGGTTGCCTTAAAATGTTAAGCTCATTGAAATGGAAAAATTGAGTTAATACAACGAAGGAGATTGATTTAATCATCAGAAACTCAAAATATTATGTTATATGAACTACATAAATTATTTAAGTTGATTTGACAAAAGAAAAAAATGTTGTGATTACAACTCATGAAAATATTTTTTTACAGTAGGCTTATTTGCTTCAAAACAACAAAGGACAGTATGTTATGATTCTATTAATCTTAACATACATTTTAGTGAGTTTGTAGTGTGACAAATGCTGTTGCTAAAATCTACAGAGCTCCTAAATGGACATTGTTGTGGGGAAAAAAATAGATGCTTTTGCTTTTTTTGCAAATGGTTTGCGTTCCCCGGGAAACTTTTCGTTCGCTCACAAAACGTTTAGTATTGACATTTTTTTTTTCTCCATAAAAATCGAATGTAAAATTATTAATGTATTTATTTTGTAAAATTAATTGAATGTTTTGTTTTAAAAAGTCAGTATTTCTAAAAAAAATTAAATGAATAATAGTTTCAGTGGTTGAATGTTAAAAGTAATGACTGGATCAATGTTGACAAATCTATCTGTGTTGCTGTTACGCATTCTCATTTAGTCTCTGACTTTGTATAAAAAACATAAATGAAGTCTGAAGTGATATAAAAGTGACAGGTGCCATAAGGCAAAGTGCTCTCCGCCTCTGCTTTTAAATCATGCGACCAGAGATCACATTTCTCCAAATATAGCTCCTGGAGCAGGCCTTGCAGGGCATTCATTCATATCATTTCCACTTTTCCCCAATTATGAAGTATGTCTTACTTATAGCTCCTGAAAGTATGATGCAACACAGGTTCAAATTTAGAACAATACTCACAGGTCGTACTTATTTTAGGCTGTCAATTTTTTTTTTCACATGCAGAAACGTATCACTTTACAGCAAATAAAACTATTGAAAGAAGGATTGAATAGGATGTAAATACATATAATTTCATATACACGTAGAAAAATATATGGTTTTATAAAATTACATATCTGAAAGGATCTTATGTTAAATGTAATCTACCTTCATTGTGGGAGAGCAAGGATTGAGGGTTCAATAACTACATTTATCACATTCACAAATAAGCTACAGTTAAGTAACTGGTGCTATTGAATAATAAATGAAATGTATAACTGATTTGAATGATTAAACCTAAGAAATGTTTTATGAACATTATTCCTTTAAAATATCTAAAGTCTTTACTTACCTTATTTAAACTGACTACAACTGAAAATTTTGAAAAGAATTATGAAAGGAGAGAATGAATAGTGAGGTGCAAAAATAATGCAGATTGGAAAGATGGAAGTGATTGGTGCTTTGAAGTGATTTGGAAAGATGATGCATGCAAAAAAACAAAACAAACAAAACTTAAATAGTGATTTTAATGGCACGGTACATTTTACAAATAGTGTACTATGAAGAAAATATCACACAAAAAATGAACAAAAGACAGCAAAAAGAACAGAAGACAGCAGTCAAACTAAAAATAAATAGTTTTAGAACTCGTCCACTTCTTATATCTGTTTTATTTGACGTTCTAGTTGAACTGATGAAAAAAAAAATATTGAAGCAAACAAAAAAGCTTAACATGAATTCCTCCCTCAAAAAATAAACTGGAATCTACACAAAGTCTACTTATCTTGATAAAAAGTAAAAATGAATAGCTCTCCAACTATGTACCAGTTAAACATTGAAACAGTGACATACTGAGTACTCACATACTGAGTACATTAATTTCTTCTTTTATGAAGAAAGTCTAAAACATTAATTACAATTTAGAAATATAACAATGTTTTTTTGTTTTCTCAGAAGGTGAGATATGATTGAACCTCCACTATAATACATTATCTCTCAGTTATACAGTATCTCTTTGCACTGTTAGCCAGAAGCTAATACATTGTTTACTTGCATATTCCAAATATCATTGAACCGCTCATATATTTTTTTCTGTCGGTCTACTGAGGTATTGTAAAATATTATCATATACACATATGCTTGTGTGAAACTTGATACTGCAAATCCTTTTATGCATTTTAAGTATGATTATATAATAATTGGTTTTTAAAGGATTGCCAGCAAGCAATAGCCGTTCTTTTCATCGTCTAGGTTAACTAGACCCGATATAGACCGGTTATGAGTAACTTCTAGCCAAAATAACCTTGAATTTGGTTACATGTCATTTTTACCAGAGAAACTCGTTAGATGTTGGGCCATGGTTAGACATCTATTAAATTTATACTGACAGGCCAAATTTTTCCTTGTTTTAGCCTAGACGTTAGGGCTGTGTTTGGACGGCTATTAGACGTCTTTTAAATATAAAATTGCTTGCTGGGTTACATTACTTAAGTTGTATTTCAAATCAGTTACTCAGTAGCCCTCATAACAGACCCTTATCTCTATCTCTCTTTTTTCACCTGCCATAATTTTTCCAACATTAAGCATCCATGTTTCTCTTCTCAAACTCACACTCAACACTGATTCCCTTTCACCAAAATTGTCTAACACTTTTAATTAGTTGTTGTTAAGTACAAGTGCTTTTTCCCTGTAGCAAGGCCATAAAATATCAGAATTAATCGGAGCATTATTCTAACGTCATGTGATGTCATTTTGAAATGTCTATGCGCTCTTCTTTGTTACTTATTTGGCATACCTTAAACGTAATTTGTAACAAACAATATTTTGGTTTGGAAGTTGGATATGTTCTACAAAAAGTATCTGAATCTTAACTTGGGTCTTGTTATTACCTTAGTTCTTAAGGTAAAACACTAGGGGAACAATCACTATTTCTATTTTTCAGCAGTGCTTGGCTTCCACACCTGAGCCACACTCTTCTTGGCTGAAAATTTGGGCTTTGGAGCAGCAGTAATACTGCCTCCTGAGACAGAGTCAGCACTGGCTGCTACTGGGAAAGACGGCACAACATAAGAACTAGGGGCTGGTTGGTAGGCCAATGCAGGCCCGGCTTGATATACTGCTTGATTAGGACCTGCCTGATAGGAGGGTGGGGAGGGCTGTTGGTAGGGAGGACTCGGTGCTTGTTGGTAAGGATTTAAAGGAGGTTGTTGGTAAGTTTGTTGGGGGTTGTATTCTTGTTGAAATGGGACTTGAAGAGGATGTTGTTGATAAGCATTTTGGACAGGCTGGTAAGTATTAGGAGGGACTTGGTGGTAAAGGCCATCATGCATAGGTGACTGATCAGCCATTCCATAGGGTTGCTGGGCCTGCTGTGGCATAAAACCATAAGGGGGAGGACCTTGGTTAAATGTCATTTGCTGGTTTTGATTTGGAGCACCTAGTGCTTGGGCTTGAATTTGGGCCTGGGCTTCAGCTGCTTTTTGAGCAGCTAGCTTTTCAGCTGCCTCCTTTTCTGCAGCAAGTTTCTCTGCTGCTGGGCCATAAGTGAAAAGGGAGGATTTCAGCTGATAGGGCTGATGTTTCATGACATCAAGAACATGAAGAGGTTTTGGGGCAGGCTTTCCCTTATCTTTGCTTTTGTTCTTGTTTGTTGTTGAAGAGCTAGAGGGGGGAGGCTGCTTGATAGCACCTGGTGGATATGAGGGTGAATGAATTGGATTATATGCCAAAGGTGGGGGAGCCCGGCAATTTGGTGAATATTTAAAGGAATTTGGCAAAGAAGGAGAAGGTGAAGATGGTCTTGCCTTATTTGACTGCACTGTGGAAGAATCCACAATGTACTTCTCCATTCTGGATTGCCTCCTGGCGAAAAGCTCAGCTCCTTTCCCTCTCAAGGCTGGCATCTCGAAAGCTGAACCAAAACCAGAGGTTGACATAGTACTACTTGTTGGAACAGGTGATGGTACCTTTGTCCCAGTGGTATACGAGTTCATTCGTTGTGGAGGAGTGGGCTGAGTGGTCTGAGATGGACTCCATGCCTTGATTTGTTGGGGAGGCAACTTCTGGTTTGCAGTTTGTGCTATGTTTCCAACTGAACCTCGCTGATGTTGGGGTGCCCAAACATTTACAGCTGGTTGAGACTGAGATTGTGGCGGGACCCATTGGCTCACAGGTGGCGTTGATGCTTGCTGTTGAAGTTTCGGTGCCCATGGAGGATGTGCCTGAGGCTGAGTTTGTGCCATTGGCTGAGGCCAGGGAGGCTGAATTTGATTCTGTTCAGGTGTCCAAGAGTTCATTACTTGTTGAGGATGTTGTTGGGAAGCAGGTTCTTGTCCCCACTGTGGATGTGGTTGGGACTGGGTTGGCATTGGTGGCCAAGAATTGGGTTGCTGCACTGGTGCTGTGGGCTGAGGTGGTGGTTGAGTTTGTTGCGCCCATGGAGGCTGTGCTTGAACTGGACCTTGTGGTTGAGTCCATGCATTTGCAAATGGCTGTGTTGGCTCTTGCTGTTTAGCCTGAGAGACCCAAGGTGGTTGGGGCTGTGACTGGCTCTGAGGTTGAGCCCAAGAATGCTGTGGTTGTTGCTGAGGGGGTGATGCCCCATGTGGCATTACCTGAGATTCTTGGAACTGTTGTTGTTGGGTCCAGGTTAGCTGTTCCTGAGCTTGATTTTGATCTTGTTGCCAAACATTAACTGGTGGCAGTGCAGGTTCATAGGGCTGAGACCATGGGGCTGACTGATTTGGCCTTGGTACCCAAGAATTGATTTGGGACTGAGGCTGTGGTTGATGCCTGGGTAGGGGTGACATTTGAGGCTGTGTTACCCAAGAAGCCTGGGACTGTGTTTTAGAAGGCACTTGCAATTGTACTTCTGGAGAACCCTGAGACTGTGTCATCCATTGTGGCTGTGTTTGAGATGGGACTTGCAATTGGACCTCATTTGGACCCCAAGTACTCACTGGAGGCTGCCGATGACCTTGAGTTGGAGCTGGATCCAATGATCTGGCAGACGGATCTGGCTGTGTAACAGGTTGTGCGACAGGATGAGCAGAATTAATTTGGAGCTGGGGTTGTTTCTCGTTCCAGGTTTCTGGTTGCTGGTTCGGCTCCATCTGAGATTCTGGTTGTTTCCAGGCATTACCTGGAGCAGGCTGTACAGGACAGTGTTGAATAATTTGGGATTCAGGGGCCAATGTAGGTTCCATTTCAGACATGATTGGGGCCCCAGTTTCAGGGGCAGGAGCAGCCTCAACCTCTGTGACTGGAGCTTCTGCAGGTACTGGGACACTGTTTGCGGTTTGCTCTGGGATGGGTTGGTCTGTAGTTTCTTGTTGAATTGACCATGGGGGAGAAGCGGGGTTAATGTGAGGTTTAGGAGCTACTGGTGGTGGAATTTTGTGTTTCATCTTAGGAGACTGAAGAAAGTTGCAGGCTTCAGCTCCTAAGCTTAAATAATCTTCTTCTGGGCAAGACTCAAAACCTGCCTTCTTGTCATTCCTGTTGAGGAGATTCAACAGAGCAGGATTAGGTGAAACCTTTGGAGACTCTTTGAAAGTGAACATAGGTTTGTTGGCACTCCTCCTGGTATCTTGCAAGATACCAGTCTTGATAGCAGGCACAGATATACGCTCATCACGGGAAGCAATCTGTTCACCTTGTCCCAATGAACACCCAGATTGCTCTTGATTATCTCCACTTGTGGGGGATGAAAATGGAGCGGCCACTCTATTTTGAATTGAAAATGGTTTGGCACTTCTGTTTGTGACTGAAGCCTGCATTTCATTCTGCACTTGCTGATTGAACGTGCCATTCATATGATGTGAATACTGTTGCACTTGCTGCTGTTGGAAGTGTTGTTGCTGATTGGATGATTGGATGTTTTGATACATTTTTTGTTGCTGGTAGTCTTGCTGATGTTGATACTGTTGTTGCTGTAGCTGGTATTGTAGCTGTTGCTGCTGGTAGTCTTGATACTGCTGCTGCTGCTGCATCTGCTGTTGTTGATAGTACTGATCTTGGTACTGATGATGTTGTTGCTGTTGCTGCTTTTGAGCTGATATGCTGTGGTGTAGATTTACATCCATGTAATTTTGGGTTTCTTGTGCATTTAAATAAGTGCGTTCCTCCATGTGTTGGTATGTTTGATGTGTCTCGGGCACCTGCATCGCTTCAACAGGGATCCCCTTACGTCTCATTTCTTCATGTTCAGCTACTATGTCATCCATGCGCTGTTTGCGCTGGGCAAACATGAGGGCTCCTTTTCCCTTGGTCTCAGGAAGTGCTTCCATTTCCTGCTTGTTGTCAAGCTTGCGCTCTATCTCAAGTAATCCGGTATCCCAATCAAAGCTCACAATGCTTTTCTGAACTGAGGCATTGGTAAAGAAATCCTCATCAATTTCTGTTTCACTTGTGGCTAGAACAGTGAACTCAACGGCGTGATCCTCCTTGTCGTCTTCGTCGTCCTGATAATCTGGCTCGTCTTCGCCAGTACCGTAGCTTACAATTGTATACTTCTTGGCCCTCTGTCTATGCTTCTTAAACATCAACACCCCCTTGTTATTAGCATTGGGGGCAGGGGCAGACAGCAGGAGAGCAATGCGCTTGCATTTGGACTTGGCCTCTTTCACCTGCTTCTCTGAAAGGCTCTCACTGCGCCGGAGCCCTAAGAATGACACAAAAAAGCAGGAGTGAGGTCATAAAATAGGGATATTGCACATGGTTGGTCCTTGTGCTCTAATTCACTGAACGTATATGAAGCATATAAATAGCACTGTTATGTGAGCAGCCAACAAGTCATTTCGTATGAGAGGTCTTGAACTAAAAAAAATACAAGTGTCAAGTACCCAGACAGCAAACTGACATTGAATCAACGTGGAAACGACGTCTCTCATGACATCAAAACAACGTTGATTTTGCTCATCGAATTAACGTTGAACCAACGTCAGACGCGGCATTCTTCAAAGCTAAATGAAAATCGAAAATTGGTTTGCTTTCATAACGTCGAAACAACGTTGATTTCAAGTTGATTTTCCGCTAGTTTTGAAAGAATGACGCGTCTGACGTTGGTTCAACGTTAATTCGATGAGCAAAACAATGTCAGATCAACGTTGTTTCGATGTCATGTTTCCACGTTGATTCAATGTCAGTTTGCTATCTGGGTAAGAACCATGTAGCTAACCTATTTTTATTTAATGTGAAACCAAATACATAATGGTTCGTTAAAATATACAGTACATGGGAATATATGCAATGCATGACAATGTGTATCAACGTCTATCAAAATGTTTGGTTTTTGTATCAAAATGTTGTGGCTTCTCAGCTAATCAAACGATGAATCCCAGATTTAACAGGTGTTAAATGTAATTTACTGTTTCCCTGACCCACATTATTCCCAATGACCCAATAAGTCATTCTCCAAACAGAGATTTGATAACAACCTCACTAATTAACTAAATCTCTGATCCATGTATAACAGCCAGACATTAACATAAGCCATTTACAGCTGTGAATGTGTCTAGAGCACGATAGTGAAGCTCCAGCACACAGAGAGAGAGAGAGAGAGAGAGAGAGAGAGAGAGTAAAAATAGCCCTGGGGCCGTGTGTGGACTCGCTAGTGCCAGAGTGCTAATACAAGCCCATATGTGTATCTACAAAAGCTGTAAAAAACAAAAACCCAGCCCTGTTATAGTCAATATATGTACAAGTTCCGTCAAGACCCATATTCCGACCAGACTATGTCAGTCCATTCAAAATACGTTTGGCTAAAACATGATGCATTTCTGATTCTTGTCTGTCCAATCTCAAGGTGGAGATAGCCATAGATGAGTGCTACTTCCATTTCAGTGCTGCTAAGATGGCCAATTTTAAAGGATCGGGTGACAGGCCAGAGTTGCACATGTCGATGTCTGTCAAATGGCACTTCTGCAAGCATAATTAGCATACCCATGTTTTATTCTTAACTTTACTAGTCATGTCACCCTGCAAGCCCCAACCCATCACTACATTGAATCATCGCCATGTTCTCTATCTATCTATCTATCTATCTATCTATCTATCTATCTATCTATCTATCTATCTATCTATCTATCTATCTATCTATCTATCTATCTATCTATCTATCTATCTATCTATCTATCTATCTATCTATCTATCAAAATGATTGATTTTAAAAGTATTACAAAACATTTATGCATACTCTTGCTCACAAATCACTGAAAATATACATAATACGCGTTTAAAAAGAAACATACAAAACTGGACATGAATTGAGTTCAACATTTTTAAACCATAACTTTAGAAATTACAAGCAAAAGCAATCCACAGCTGACTCCGTCAGTTCGTCAGTCCGTCAGTTTAAAATAAGAAATTATTGCTATTCTTGCAAACAGATACCATATCACGGTATAACAAGCAACACATTGAAAATCAGACGTTACTTACTGGCGTGCCTTGCCCGGTGCTTGTTGGGCTCGTTGACCTCCCTCTCCGATTCAGAGTCCCACTCCTCTGAGGGAAGTCCAAAGGACACAGAAGAAGAGGTGGGAGTTTCTTCAATGTGCCCTCCTTCTTCCCCACCAGAATCCAACCGTCCACTGGCCTCTACCCCCTCCTTTCCAGAACTGCTTTTAGATAACTGCTGCACCGTCACCTCCACCTGTCCCGGCAAAGCAGGGGGTTTGCTAACCAACACACCCCACTGACCAAGGGGTTGCCGGTCTCGTCGGGGTATATATAGAGGGCTATCTGGAGAAAATGCGGTGGTGGTATAGTTGACGCTCTCATCCGTCTTTTTATGATGGATGTCTCCCACAAATCCACACGCACTGCCTAATGCGGCACAATCTGGCTCTTTCAGGGTGGTCTTTGAGAGCGAGAGCTGCAATTCGACCACAGATCCTGGGGTTACATCCAAACTGGTGTCTCCACCATCCTGGGCATAGGAGCCTCTACCTTTATTCCTAGAAGCAGGTATTTGAACTTGAGTACGGACCAATCGAGTCCCCACTGGAAACTCTCCGTCGCTGTCTGTTTCCCCATAATATGCTTCATCCTGGGAATCAGAGATGTATAGTTTCTGAGGGTCTGGATGAAGCCTGGATGGAGATGGGATCTGAAAAGTGGTACTAACCATTTCAAGGCTCTCTTGAGGTTGACTACAGCATCTGCAGGGAGGAGAAGTCGTAACATCATGTTTTTTGCAGATAATCCGTCTACTTCTTTATAAAGCAAATCATTTATTTGGAACTAAGAAAATTATCTTATCTATAAGTGATTTTGTAGTACACAGTGGGTAATTTAGTACATCTGTTATTTCAAAGGGTCAAGACAGTCATAAATAAGACTATACTATAAAATTGAATAACTAAACAATTTAATGCATCACAATCAATCTAGTAGAACAAAGCTAGGCCTAAATCCTTTTTGCTAAACTAAAAAACGCTTATCGCATATATAAAAGATGCAAAACATTAAAACAAGTAAAGAATCAACCATAGTGCATCAATGAACATTTGCCCAAGTAATAAAATACCTTTTAACAAGCAGTTGTAGACAGTCAGCAGCGGTTTCGATGAGATCAATAGCATCTGAGAGACTGAGGTTAGAGCAAGGCTTTCCATTTACTGACACCAGTTCATCATTCTCACACAATCCAGCTAGGGCCGCGGGACTACCATCCTCTATCTAGAAAAAAAGAAATGATCACATATTTATTAAAAGGAAGCTTAAGCAAGTAAAACTACCAGTATGTAATGTAACATAAACCTAAAGTTATGTAGACAATGCACACAAATAAAGTGCTTTTGGAATGTTATTTGAGTATTAAAGGAGTAGTTCACTTTAAAAAAAAAAACTTTTGCTGATAATTTACTCACCCCCATGTCAACTAAGATATCCATATCATTCTTTCTTCAGTTGAAAAGAAATTAAGGTTTTTGATGAAAACATTCCAGGATTTTTCTCCATATAATGCACTTTACTGGTAACCAAACGGGTCAAGGTCCAAAAGACACTTTCAGTGCAAACTGTTCAAAGGGCTTTAAACGATTCCAGACGATGAATAAGGGTCTTATCAAGTGAAACGATCGCTCATTTAAAAAAAAAAAAGGTTTAAGTCTTATAAGCTCAAATGCCCGCCTTGCTCTGTTATGTGATGCGCGTTCGAGACTCTTGTTCGAACTCGTTCATCAAAATGAACAAATCTTTTTCCGAGTCAATTCGTTCATTTCGTTCGTTGAATGAACCAAATTACTCGAAAAAAGATTTTTATTTTATTTTGATGAACGAGTTCGAACAGAGCAAGGCGAGCATTTGAGCTTATAAAACTTAAACGTTGTTATTTTTGAAATGAGCGATCGTTTCACTTGATAAGACCCTTATTCATCATCTGGAATCGTTTAAAGCCCTTTGAACAGTTTGTCTTTTGGACCTTGAACCGTTTGGTTCCCAGTAATGTTCATTATATGGAGAAAATCCTGGAATGTTTTCATCAAAAACCTTAATTTCTTTTTGACTGAAGAAAGACATGGGCATCTTGGATGACATGGGGGTGAGTAAATTATCAGCAAACGTTTTTTTTTTTTTTTAAATTGAACTACTCCTTTAAGTAGAGGAAATAGCCTACATTTCATAATAAATTAATAAATCGTTTTCAGAAAAAAATACACAGATTTAAAAAGACAAAAACACTTTTATACACTGAAACACTAATACTGGTGAAGTGGTTATGTGTGTGAGTGAGTGTGTGTGGTGGTACACATAATGTGCACTTTGAAAATGCAATTTAAGTCGCTTTGGACAAAGCGTCTGCCAAATACATAAATGTAAATCTAAATGTAATGTAATGGTTCAGATGAACCTTATGTTATGGCAATATCTGTAAATCCTGTCCTTGTGTGGACATTATTTCTGTCCCCATGATGAAAAGAGCCTATAAATTTTTGGTTATATAAATCTAAAAACTTCTCTGTGATGGGTAGTTTTAGGGTTAGGGGATAGAATATACAGTTTTTTCAGAATAAAAATAATTATGTCTATGGAAAGTCCCCATGAAACATGAAAACCCATGAGTGTATATGTAAAACAGTGTGCACATAATACTGTACATATTGGATGAAATAAAGATCTATAACTCCTTCATAGACAGTGTGTCTTAATTTAGACCAAGAGCCTCTAATTTACGCATTACAACAGCTGCATGTCAACTGACTAAACAGTGCTACAGGCCAGAGCAGGTCTATGACCCATAAGCCTTGCATACAGAAGCAGAGACACCTCAACATAAGATTTAATATCAGCCATTTGTAACTTTAAGTGCATCACAAATCAACTCTCAACTATAAGGTCAAGTCATAAAGCAGAGTAATTGTTCGCCTAAGATTGCTTGATTTAGCACATGGTATTATTAAAACGTTTATGCATTGACACAAGATACAAGCTGGCAAATGAAATTCTCTATTTTGAACTACAAATGAAATCTTAAATATTTTCTTATGGGTGAACCGAGTAAAAAAAAAAGTAACAGAATAATTAAGTCTGACCATGTTTATTCAAACATTTGCATTATAAGTCATACTCAAGAACAATGGCAGCATTTTGAAAACAAATCTATTTATGACCATCTGCCAGTGATAAAATACCTTCACCTAAAATAAACTATCACCTAAGATCCTGAAACTACAGATGTCATGTCATGCCTCCGGGGGGCATCATTTATACTGAGCAATTTCAATCAGGAACTGTGAGATTAGAGATTAGGCTTCCTATCATTCTGTAGAAAGGGTCTCAATAATGACTTAATAGGTTTCACAATTTAATAATAAGAAAATTATATGAGGAATTAGGAGTAGTTCACTTTTGAAAAAAACTTATGCTGATAATTTACTCACCCCCATGTCATCCAAGATGTTCATGTCTTTCTTTCTTCAGTCGAAAATAAATTAAGGTTTTTGATGAAAACATTCCAACATTTTTCTCCATATAATGGACTTCAATGGAACCAAACGGTTCATGGTCCAAAAGACACTTTCAGTACAAATTGCAAACTGTTCAAAGGGCTTTAAACGATTCCAGACGATGAATAAGGGTCTTATCAAGTGAAACGATCGCTCATTTAATAAATATTCAATATAACAAAGTTTACGTTTTATAAGCTCAAATGCTCGCCTTGTTCTTTTCTGTGATGCGCGTTCGTGACTCTCCTGAACTCGTTCATCAAAAGGAACGAATCTTTTTCTGAGTCATTTGGTTCATTCAACGAACGTTACGAACTCGGAAAAAGATTTGTTCATTTTGATGAACGACTTGGAACAGGAGAGTCACGAACGCGCATCACAGAACAGAGCAAGGCGAGCATTTGAGCTTATAAAACTTAAACTTTGTTATTTATTTATTTTTTTTAAATGAGCGTTCGTTTCGCTGGATAAGACCCTTATTCATCGTCTGGAATCGTTTAAAGCTCTTTGAACAGTTTGCACTGAAAGTGTCTTTTTGACCTTGAACCGTTTGGTTCCCAATGAAGTCCATTATATGGAGAAAAATCCTGAAATGTTTTCATCAAAAACCTTAATTTCTTTTCGACTGAAGAAAGAATTACATGAATATCTTGGATGACATGGGGGTGAGTAAATTATCAGCAAAAGTTTTTTTCAAAAGTGAACTACTCCTTTAACAGGGTTAGAAAAAATTGTATCATTAGAGAAAACCATGACAATAAAGATATATGTTTAACATTTTGTTAATTTGTTGGCATCAACAGTTGGTGATTTACTGTAATCGACATCAACAGTTTGACTACACTGTTTTTCACAGGCCAGTCCATCTCCTATCTATAAGTTTCCTAGCTCATAAATCACATTCTCAAACAAAAAAAATTGAATAAAGCGACATACATAAATTTTCAACATTTTATCACGTCAATAAACTGTGTAATAAACTACACCTTAGTTGATAATAAGGCAGTTTACATTAATGATAAGTAGTATATAGCATATAGCTTACAAGCTACACACTCTTTGATCCTGGGCATCAGTAAAAAGCATATAATAACTTTTGATTGCCTTATTTAAAACGCATATTTTTTAAAAAAAATCCAGTTTCAAAACCACATGCTCTTAAACAGTGGCGGATCTAGAGATTTTTTTCCTGGGGTGGCAAAGGGGTGGCATGAGGTTTTAGGAGGGGGGCCATTTGTTCATAATTTAAAATGCTACGGTTTTCATTTAATGATTTTTGTTCTCTACACATTACACGGAGTGGGACTCAAATCAGAGATGTAGTTGGGTTTTTGGATGGTGTGGGTCTTATTTTGTGAATTGTGGACCCTTTCTCTGTGTAATCACAAACAGACTGTGTAGTCTATACTTCAATTGTACTTTGTGAAAAAGCTATTCTTGGGAGGAGATTAAAAAATGCAGTTTTGTCAGATGTAAAAATAGCATGCTAATTAAAACCATGTTGTACAATTCCAATCAATCTATCCATGCAATTGAATCTTAATCCTTGGTAAAATGTAAATACGTTGACCATACTGTATTCCCATGAGCTTTTTTTTAAAACTAACAATGCTGCAGAGTGCAGAGCCATGGACAGCACAGCGGTTAACAATGTTACTGTTTATGTTTTCTCTAGTTGATCATGATTTTTTGCAAGTTCGATCACAGTTTTACAGTTAGGCTACAATACAAGTCAACACCTATTTTCCACTGTAGGAACAATTTATTGTAAAGTGATTTCAGACACCCCTGTCTTAAATGCTTATTTGCAAGTATATTACCTATTAATCAACACTAGAGGGCAGTGTGCAGTCAAAAAAAGACAACTCGTTTCAAAATCAAAATATATTATTATTCTAGATGAAAAAGTAGTGACATTAACATATCTGAGACTCACAAACCTGCCACGATAATTATGAGTAACCACAATTCTGCTGAAAGGTTATGTCTTTAATGGTTAGTCTTCTCTTGAATATTGCCTGTAAATATGTCCAAACCGCACAACACTGCCTCGGTAGCTTTACAGCCCATTATATGGTGTAAATAATGAAAACATCACACACAAATTCATTAATGTGTGGCCTAAAAATAGGGCTACTCAATCATAATATTTTGCTCCTCAAGCTTTTTAAAGCCATTGGCATGATGCCCAGCCAGTTTAAAGGTGAATGTTCTTTAATTGAATAAAACCATTGAGCTGAGGGATTGTTATGAAGCTCTGGTCGCCGTATAAGGGCTTTTCAGAGGGACAGAGGATATATAATCACTGCTCAAATGAACATGAATACAGCACTTCTCATCCAAAAAAGGAGGGGAAAGAACCATCTAGCAATTGTGCTCGTGACATTTGCTTTAAAGACGTAGCCTACACTTATGTTGATGTGTTGACTAATGTACTAAAGTATGTGTAAAGTAATTGATTATCCTTTTAGTTGTAGTGTGTTACTCGAAATTACATTTAAAGTAAATATACTTTTAAAGACTAAATTTTAATTTAGATAACACTACAAATGTTATGTTATATTAAAACACATGACATAAGTTTCAATAAAAAATAACATTTATTTTAGTTTACCATCAAATCCTTGTCAATACATGCAGCCGTTCTTGAACCATATTTAAATTACATATGAAGATGTACTTGAGTGGGCTAACTAATGCTCAGCTAACTGCTTTTAATATAAAAGCATG